TTTTTTCCCACGTGGTTTTTCCTAGTAAGGTTTTAATGAGGCACATTATCTTTTAATGAACATCCAAGAGGGAGTGTTATAAATATATTATATTATGAATGTTCATTTATTACTCCGTTGTAAATAAGCTTCTTGAAGAAGCTTATCCATATGAGACTCCACCGTAAATATGTTTATCTATTTAGTACTCTATTGGAAATAAGCTTCCTGAAGAAGCTTATCACTTCGGTACCCGGTTATGGATAAACATTACCCCCGGTAGAAGATTATCCATACCGGGTATAATAAGTTTATCCTTTCAGTACCCAGTTATGGATAAACATTACCCCCGGTAGAAGATTATCCATATCATGTATAATAAGCTTATCCTTTCAGTACTCCGTTATGGATAAACATTGCTCTCAGTAGAAGATTATTCATATCTGGTATAGTAGCAGCTTACACATCAGCTTCCTTTCTTCTATAAATAGAAGAGATTTCAGTTCATTATGTACATCAGTTTGAATTCGAATAATATAACAGTTTCTCTCTATACTTGTCTTTACTTTACAGTCTTTATTTTATAACACTTTATAGTTTTCCAATTTATTTCTTCAAACACTACGCTTCTTCAGTTTAGTTTCTTACCTTTAATGTAAATACTTAAAATGTAAAGTTCAAAATATTAAACCAACAAAAAGATAGTAAAATCTATATTGTATAACCACCTTTTAAAGTAATAGCCGAAAAGTATATACTTTTTCTATATTGATAAGTTATATATATACACAATCAGTGTATATTTTTATATATTTAGCTAGTAATTATAATTATTTTTTACCGACCGCCAAATGTGTTAAAATCCCAAAAAATTAGCACCATGACGGTTAGGGAGAAATTCAAAAATAGCCCAGTTTCAAAAGTAATCGAAATTTAGCCACTTTTTATGTAAAGATAAATCTGAGCGAAAATACTGTTCAAAACTCAGAAAATACGCCAGTATATTATACTGGAGTTCCAGCATAATTACGCTTGAACTCCAGCATATTATACTGGAGTTCCAGGATAAGTATGCTGGAACTCCAGCATAATATGATGGAGTTTCAGCATAAGTACACTAGAACTCCAGCATAATATACTGGAGTTCCAGCAAGTATAATTGACCAGTATAATATACTGGAGTTTGGAGCACCGGTGCTCCAATCTCCAGTATATTATACTGGAGTCAGCACATTATACCGGTCCAGCATAATATGCTGGAGTTCATACACATGTGCACCGAACTCCAGTATATTATGCTGGACCGGTCTCTGTTGCAGCAAAATAGTGACTGTTTTTCATTGACTTCATAAACGCTGACTATTTTTGATTGACCAGTCTGAAAACGGGTTATACCGTGCTATTTTTACCGACGGTTATGCGTGTCATAAGCGGAGTCCGGGCCCTCAAAAGATCTAACTCAAGGCCGAAAATTTTATTTTGAGTCTCAAACCATCAATAACCTAAAAAGTTAGCTTTTTAGGTTACATCAGCAATAAACCGACAAAACAAAGATTATTCAAAGCAGCCCGTGAATTCTTTTTTTCTTTTTCTTTCCCTTTTCTTTCGACAACTTGTTAATGTAAAATATGACTTTATTTTCTTTATTACTGACAGAAATTCTCTTATTATGACCTATAAATCGATTAAAACCTCAAATTCAATTAAAAACTAACAAAATCAGCTGTCATTGGAGACCTACGATATAGTCCATGTGGTCTTAGTTGGCTCCCCCTGATTGTGGTATGCTGTTTGAATCCTCTATTGCTTAGGATAATGTATTATTATGCAATTTACTATATTTTCAAGAATAAAGAGTTTCAAATTTTTGCCTATATTTATACATAATTCTTAAGCAAAAAAAGTTTGAACTCTTATTACGTTATACGAAGATTTAAACGAGTCAACTACCAACGAAGTTCATCATCTGAAATTATGCTTCAGTAAAACTCCAAGGAAGTACCTTTGAACTAAACAAAGATTCAATTTTAATAATTATAAATTCAACTACACCAAATTCTAAGTCTATTCTGCTTATCTAATCGTAACATTCATCTTTGAAAACTGGAAATGACATGCATAATTATATTTCGTGTATAGCCGCAACCAACAAAACAACATCACATGGTTTTGCTCATGAAACTTCTTTCTCAACCTCAGATGTACAATATCTGGAAACAACCAAAAATAAAATAAAATTGGATGCTCTTTATTCCTTTCAAAAATTAAAACAGAAAAAAGTCATCTAACTGACATTGATATTTACATGCAACTAAAGGCCTCAACCATCTATCAGTGGACATGGCTAAAAACATCACTACCATCGGAGAAAAATGAAAAAAAAGGAGAAAAAGAAAAAGGAAAAACAATTAAACAAAAGAGGGGGCAATGCATAGAACCCATCTTTGAGCATGTACACTCAGTAAAAACCTCCAGATATAAATACCAAACCTATCCAACTACTAAATCAATATTACAGAAGTGCTGAGCAATAATGCAGAAATCGAGAGTTACCTGTTGTATTTCCTGTGTCCAGATGCCACATCAACCAATACGAATCAGTTCCACTGTTTTCAGCTGTAATTTTCTGTGTCCGGTAAGAGGCTTCACAAATTCGACTAGTGTTTCCAACGATCAACTAAATCATGACTCAGGCTTCACAAATTCGACTAGTGTTTCCAACGACCAACTAAATCATGACTCGCACCCAGGAAGAGAGTTAGCTGATGCAAATGGTGAAAGGCTTGTAATTGATTCACTGTGGTGCAGTGGGTTATGATGCTGACTGGTTGATCCAATATAGCTCGAAGAGGGATTGCTAGGACTAGGAATGCATGCAGACGTGTGTCTTGAATTAAGAGGTGATAGAGAAGGATAACCCAATGAGTTAGATGAAATTAAGTAAGGTACACGAGATCTTTGCGAAGATGCATTTTGAAGGTCGAGTGAACTTCGGCTTATAGCAAAATGAGGTGACTGGTGGTAGGACCAAAGAGAGTGCTGGTTATGAGAGCTAGAGATTGATTGGGAACGAGAAACGGAAGGCGATCGAGATACTCCTGTGCCTATATGTATTACTGCTGATGATGCTAATGATGACCTTAGAGATGACATTGAAGATCCAGATAGCAGGCTCGAAGAAAGCAATGGTGTAGATTCAGATGCTGGTGGTTCGCCAGTGCTAGTCCTTGCATCCCGTTTGCAAACAGGGCAAAAGGTTCTCCATGATGTCAGCCAAGCATCAACACACTTGGTATGAAATTCTGAAAAGTTTACACAGGACGTGTTAATAACTGAAAAACGCCAAGTGCTACAGAAGAAATAAATTTTGAATGTGAACATATATCAATGAAAGCTTATCAATAAATACTGCAGTATAACAAAATAGAGCAGCTCCGGACAAGGGAAATATTCCAATTATATGATGCTTGGAACCATAACTTTGGTTTTCACCATAGTTAGCCACCAAGGAGACTTCAGAAAAGGAATAATTTCAAAAATCAAGTATAAACTGTATTTATAACTGTTTGCTACTTTAGAAAGGGTAAAAGTTAAGGTGATATGGGACGGCTTGGAATGAAAATCCTTTTTGATCAAGGCACTACTTGGGAAGTGGTTATGGAGATTCAGGATTGAAGAGCAGGCATTATGAAGGGAGGTGATAGCAGGAAAATATGGAGTCGTGGAAGGGGAATGGAGGTCTAGAAACGTAGAGGAGTATTACGAAGGGTTAGGAAGATTTCAACAGCTTAGTTACTTATACAGTAGGGAATGGAAGTATAGTCAGTTTTTGGGATCAACCGTGGTGCGGACTGCGGAGAGAGTATATGAGAACGGCATTCCCCAACTTATTTAGAGTTTCGTGCCGGAAAGAGACGATGGTACAACAGATTCGGGTGGTAAAAGAGGGGGAATTTCACTGTTTGGAATTTACATGAATGGGAGATGGATGAATTTCAAAGGTTGAAGGAAATTTTACAGAGTACCACTCTCAGCGGTGAGGACTAGTGGAGGTGGGTGGCACGAAGTGATGCACATTTTCAGTAAAGTCATGCTACCACAAGATTTCGGCGGGAGAGGAGTCAAGTTTCCTTAGTGATGGCACTAACATAGATTCATGTTTAAGAGGATATATTAGTGCTTATCAACCATGATTCATGATTAGTTTGTCATGGCACCAAAACTCAAAAAGGATGAGTATCCTCCCAATGGAGGAACAAACCTTAATGAAATGGTGCGCGTTCCTTACCTTCAACGGCATTAGTAACAAATAGAGCTAAATATGAACAACTTCGAAAGTAAATAACCTCTATAAGAGAGGATAACTTACTGTGCCGGCATGGAAGAACTCTAAGCTTATCTCCCACATTATAATCGTCGAGGCATATAGCACATGTTACTGATGTAGAATTATCTTCAACAACTGATGCAAATATCAAACTTGGCATAGCTTTCACCAAACGTCTACTAATCCCATGAAACTCACGAACGCGAGAGGCTTGGGGCCGCTCTCTTCGTATATGATGTCGGCGAACAAAGAAACACATCCCAAGCACGGCTGATATAGCAAGTAATGAAATGAACGATGTAGCCATGATTGACCAAGCTGAGTTTTCCAAGCTTGGGGTTATCCATACTTCCATATCAGTGTCACCAGCATACTTTGCGAGTGTTTCTCCAGAAGCTTTTGAAACGAACAGTGCGAGTATCTTCACACCAGTAGAGGTTCCTGCCACTGTATTGCGTGTCTGGTTAAACCTTTGGTTGTTAAAAATCAACAATTATAGAAGCTTAAAGCATTCAAAGCAAGAGTTGAAATTGGTTTTTGAAGTCTTTGACAAAAGATTTCTGAGTTCTCTATTTCATTTTCCTTGTGGCAGGGGGTGGGCTAATAATCTTCTATGATATGAACATTTCAGAAGTACCACTTTGGGACATGCTGGCTCAAGACAAATCACAGAACATGAACACATCATAACGATCATGAGAAAGCTTGGCAAGGATTTCGAGCTTTTTATTTCTAAGTCATTTAATTTTTCAATCCAAGAGTATCTACTTGGTCGCATACAAGTTTTGCCACAACTGGTTTTCCTAATAATCATCTAAAAGTTGTAGACATGTATTTAGTCCAGCTCAGTGACCCTAATGCCAGTGGGCATAATAGAATAATTATAAAACTTGGAATTCAATTGCATCGCATAATAAAAGACTAAAAGAGATCTTAAGAGCTGGATAATAATTTTTTGTTACAAATTGGAGATGGCAAAATATCTTGTGTAACTTCCTTCACATGGATCAATCCCTCTTTACCAAATGGAATGTCCAAATAGCACTTTTATTTTTCATCCTACGAGTTTTTATGAATAACTAGTTAGGGAATGAAGCGTAGTTTGGTTTATCACTTGACAGTTTCAAAGTTTCGTCAACATTTTATATGGCATATTCAGAGCATTAATTGATTAAAGGCAAAGCAGCAAATTTGCATAAAAAATTGTATAACGTCGGATAGCTAGCTTCTGCAAGGAGTAACGAGTTCAATGTCAAATTAAACTGTAAATCTATTTCCCTTCCCAAGAAATCATTTTACTTCTACCGTGATGGATCAAAATTAATGAACTTAGAATGGACTGAATGAATTTAAAAAAAAAATGTAAGAGTTCATTACTTGGAATGATAACACCATATTTATTGTCATAGATAATGGCTGCTTTAAAACCTGCAGCTTGTGCTTTTCTGACTTTATCCTCAAAGCTACATCCACCCCTAATTATCAGCACAAATGGATCTTTTGTGAAGTTATTAATAGGTTCAATCTTGTTAGTCAAGGTTGAGCATGCATCCAAAGGCTCTGCCACATACAATATTCCACATTTGCCTGAACCCTTTGGTGAGGGAGCTGAAATTAAAACAGGTCGAATTCGTACATTAGCAGAAAAGAAGCCCGGTAAATATCATGCCAACAGAAAAGTATAGAAAACCTTTGCTATATCACAACATTTAGCATTTTCAGTTAAAACAGAAATACAGCCAACATTAAAAACTTCATAAGTCAAATACAAAGAAACCAAACACATGATCAACAACAAAATATATTCAGCTCTAAATGCAAGTTATTAATACAACAAAAGGGCAGCCCGAGGTACTAAGCTCCCGCTATGCAAGTTATTAATACAACATTCATACATATTCTCATGATGCAAGTACAGATCCTTTGAAGATTCCAACTGAAAAATAAAAACTTACAAAATATGACAGATCANGTAAGGTCAACTCACCAAAACTAGCTTCAATGTCGTCAAAAGACAAAGTAAGGTTTTTTCCAATCAAAATTACACTTCCAAGAGCTCCAGAAGCCATTAAAGACACAAAACTAAAGAACAAAAAAACCCAAAAACTCACCATCCCACTTCCCAAATCTCAAAACCCTACAACCCCTTTAAATAATTTTCAAGGAAATTCACAAAAAGAAGACTAAAATTCACAACAACCCCTTTTGTCAATTTTCAAGAAAAATCACCAACAAAAAAAGAAAAGAAGATACACTCTCAAGATTGCAGAGAGAATAGAAACATCAGCTTCCATAGGGATTTTAATTTTATTGGTTTTCCTTGTATGTATGTATGTGCGGGCAAAGATGAGAAATTTTTGGAAGGAATTCTAAATCTAAAAGGTAAGAAAATCAACATTTTCGCTATATATAAATGTGTGTCTCTTTTGTGTGCTCTAATGATTATTTATCTTTTTGATGTTATTAAGCTAAAGAGGGACAAAAAAGAAATTAAGAAAAAAAAAGAAGGAAAAATGACAAGTAAACCAAAAAATAGCAAACGAAGAAAGAAAAAGAAAAAGGATATTTTCGCAAGTTGCAAAATCCGGAGAAGGAAAATGACTTTTAATTATACAAAGTGAAACGACAAAAATGATCTTAAATATTTTCCTGAATAATAGTTACCCTTTATTTACAACTTTTATGCTAAGATTAATTTAAAGAAATTACTTTCAACAACATAAATCATAGTGTTCTCGAAAAGAACAACTTACCAAAGTATAAAGATTTAGATTTTATAAGAAATTAATGTATTATTATATATTTTAGTGTAACTAATGGACAGAATGTCTTTATTTTATTGTATTGAAACGATTTTGCATCCAAATAATTTATTTGTTAATTGAAGTATATAAATCTTGTCAATAATATGTAAAAGAGCAGCTTTGTGGGGTGTTGGTGCCAAACGTAAAATATGAAACAAACCACTAAGAATAAAAGAATATTTTTTAAAGATGATAATGAGATTCTTTTTGGCTAAAAACAAAAAAGAATAATTCGGTGCACAACAGAGAAGACATCAACTATTTGATTTGTAAAAGAATCGCACTCTAGAAGATTTGATGTAAATATTTTATCCTAATGTAAGCATTGCTGACTATTTTTATGATGCGAATTCGTAATCTATAAGTTATATGGAGACAAATTTACCATTACTTCAAAGTATAATAAAGATATATAACAACTATCATGCACCGCCACAGGGTTACTGGATTAGGTCCAATCTGAACTGTCTTTAGTTTATTTGCATGACAACAACAACAACCCAGTATAATCTCACTTAGTGGGGTCAGGGTAGTGTGTATGCAGACCTTACCCCTACCCTGGGGTAGAGAGGTTGTTTCCAAATAGACCTCCGACATCCTTCCCTCCAAGAACTTCTCACCTTACTCTTGGGGGACTCGAACTCACAACCTTTTAATTAGAAATGGAGGTTGCTTACCATCAGAGCAACCCCACCTATCCACAAACTTAATACAGCCTTACCAAGTTTGCATGACAAACTTGATAATTCATAATTCATTGTTTATGGGCATGTTAAATGATAAGAAAATAGAGGAAATGGGTTGTTGGGGACAAGTTGATGTTGTGGTCCCCGTTAAATGTACAAAATTCATGTTCATGTTGATTTTGATTTTGTTTGTCGATTAGGTAGTCCTTCAATTTCTTTTAGGACTATATTAAGAAAAAGAATAGTCAACCCAGCCTTTTTAATACCCAAATATCTGAATCGATTTATGACATATCCAGTGATCTTTTTCGAAAATTCAAAATATTTAAAATACATAAGAAAATGGTATGGGAATGAAATATTGTGTGGGTGTTAAATGTAGTTGTGTTATGAAACAATAAAACAAGAAGAATAGTATTGCAGATAAAAGTAGAAAGAGAGAATTCTTATTGATTTGGGATCAATTACAATTGAATAGAACCCCTCTATTTATAGGGAAAAAGTGACTTAGCTACCAAGTAACAAACCCTAGAATCTCTTTAAAATATAGATATTCACCTTAAATAGAATTAAATTTATAACACTCCCCCTTGAATGTCTATTCAACAGATAATGTGCCTCATTAAAACCTTATCTAAAATAAAACCTATTGGGAAAAAAATTCTAGTGAAAGAAAAAGAGTACACATATCTAACAATACGCCTTTTGGTTGCCTTGTTAAAAACCTTGCAAGGAAAGTGGGACAAAACCTTATAAGGGAAAAAGACTACAATGCGTATTAACTCCCCCTGATAAGAGCATCAATTCACATCCTTGAGCCTTCGCATTCCAATCTTGTGCACTACCTTCTTGAATGTTGACGTCGGCAGAGATTTGATGAATAAAATAGCCATATTAACTCCAATGAATATTTTATACCTTGAAAATCTTCACTATCACATTATCATGCTTATAATTATAGCAAGATATAAATATGCATAAATTGCATTGAGGATGTGGTACTTCAACATCAAGAATTGTTTATGCTTCAAGCAATTTAAATCCTTCAGGGATTATCATATAAGTATAGTCAAATAAGCCATATAAATAGACTTTAGATTTGTATTAAGTTTTCATGACATTCCAGACAAATAAGATACATGAAAATGATTGAAAAACACACCATTGACTTTAGAGTGTTTGAACTTTATGTCCAAAACTACATGTCTTTCATATGGAACCAATTCTATTCGAGTTGTGTCTCTTCCATTTGATCAATATTTTTGTGTCTGTATTCGACAAACTTAAGATCCTTATCTATATTTAGCGGTATCATAGATGTCGTCGACGAACATTTTATATCGGTTTCAATATTGTTTTCATAAAGACATAATATAGAGATCTCTTCATTCATATTTTTAGGTACTTGAATCTCTCCTGAGATTTTATGAAGTTTTATGTCATGTGATCTTCTAGATCACCTGCCTCCTTTATTATGATCATTTGCTCATCTTCTTTATCAAGAAGTTTATTTGAAACCGATTTATCTACACACTTAAGCGTACCATAGACTGTCCTTCTAGGACTTAATATGAGCATTTTCAATGAGAATATAGTTACTTTCTTTGAGTCAGCAAATGCATCTGGTTAGCAATCAAGTTCATAATATTATTCGAGGATCTAAATGTATAAATGATAATTTATTTCATGTAACCTTTTCTCAATTGTTTATCATATCTCCCCCTCATGTTAGAAAAACTAACTTGTTTTCCTCAACTTTGAGAAACCATCTTTTTGCGTTATGGTGTTAATCAAAATATACACCGCACATCAATAATAATAAGATGGAATTATTTAGTTCCTGACCCTGAACCACTTGTGAGGGGAGAAAATAATATACTTTCGTATATAACGTATATCAAACTGATATATATAACTTTGTTCTCACAAGCAATTATTTAGCTATTAAGTGAAGACACTCAATATATCAGTTTGCTAAACCAACTGTGATGTAAACCAACTTATCAAGATGAACTATCTTGAATAAAAAATCTGAAAATTATGCTCTAAATCAAATTATTGAGCAAGTTACCTCGCAAACACCATGTTGTGGATTAATAATAATCGCACATGTAACCATCTCATAGATGCATCTTATGTGGTATACATGGCAGGTGAATGAGCCCGTATTCACCTTTAATATTTCCAGCATTCATGGGATTCAATCCCAATTTTAGTTGGTCTCTTAATTAATGAGAACAAGCAATATAAGAGAATTAGTAAAGAACTTTCTAGTTCTTTAATATTTACCCATGTGAATTCTCTATTATTTTTGCACACCGTACTTAAATTGATATGGCTAAACCAATTATGCCAACTGAATAAACTATCAATATTGATAAACTTCAGATTTACACCATGACATGTGCAATTATCAATAAACTCCAAGTTTATTAAGATATGTGTTTTTATATCAATAAACTTCTATTTTATTGTGGCATTCTTTTGTTTGTATAGTACAAACTAGAGAATAAAGTGGGTAGCTTTTCACATACATACTACCTCGCTACAAGTTGTAGTAATAGAAGATGTTAAATCTTTCCTTTATTTATAGTCTCAGTATGACCAACTGATACTTTAGAAACTCATTAAGTTTCTTTGAGACTTACTAAAACACAATAAATTGACATGATAATCAATTGTATTTCTCCAAAATAGTAATAATTGGCTCTTCAAGAGTTCTCAGTTAATTTTGTACTACCACATATTCATCAACATCCATGTGGTGAATATCTCTTTTAAAGAGACAGTTATATCATTATGGTCATGGTCAAAATTATATGCAAGATCTATTCCTTGCATTAATATTATTCTTTAATAATTATATTACCAAAATATTTTGGTGTGCAATAGGTACGTGACCAATGACCATTCATGCCATAATAATGACATTATTATCTTACTTCCCCTCAAACCTTATTCTAGAGGCGAGTGTGGTATATTCACTATCATTAGCACATTCATATTCTTCCCAAGAATGAGTATGTATTCATAAATCACATGTTGTCACATTCACATCATGAATGGACTGTAATCATCTATATGTGTTTTACAAAATCTCATATCAATTTGATGACAAATATTACTTTCACAGAGTGAAGGATTATTTTGCTAATCCTTATTATTCTCATTATCACAATGATGGCGATTATAATTTCGTCTATTGCCACGTCCACATCCATTGATACCTTCATGACAATAATTTTGTCTTCTTTCAGACTTATCACATATTGCTATCACATTCTCTTAAGGGAATGAGAATGAAGCAAATTCAATGGGACGGGTTTTCACTTCTTTTCCCACAATCATACATGAATTTGTTCATGGCAAGGCATATAAATTTTACCATTTCAGGTTGTTATAATTTCATACAAACTCCATTAGAGTTATAATCAAACTTTATTATCTTTGCTTGTATATAAAATCAAATTAAAGAATAAAAGAAAAAAATATGGTAAAATACATACCTTAAATCCAGAATTTAATCATGAAGGAAGCTCATGGAACAATTGACAATTATTATGCTCAATCCCAAAGCTTCTACTCAATTGGTCAGAGTCTCGTGCTGATAACGTGTTATGAAACAATAAAAGAAGAAGAATAGTATTGGAGAGAAAAGTAGAAAGAGAGAATTCTTATTGATTTGGGATCAATTACAATGGAATAAAACCCATATATTTATAGGAAAAAAGTGACTTAGCCACCAAGTAACAAACCCTAGAATCTCTCTAAAATATAGACATTCACCTTAAATAGAATTCTATTTATAACAAGTTGAAGAATATGACAACTTTTTTTTATTATACGAGGAAGGAAATGGGATGTTGCGCTATTGATGGGTGCAGTGGCGAGGCCACATGGTAATAAGGGTGGTCAACTGATCACCCTTCATCAAAAAATTG